TGTGAATAGTGATAAAGAAATCAGACATGGATTTGTAAATTATATTTTATATCATCAAAGGTTAAATGTTAAAGGTACTTGGATGGGAAATTATGAGAATACTTCGGTATGGTAAAAATACGAAATTACCCTTATATTGTAAAATGATAAGAATTGTCCCTGGAAGTGGATTAATAAATCTGAAAAGACATATTGATACGATAAATATATTGATGTGCATAAGAAATGATAGTTATACTTAGAAATTATGGATAATCGGTTTTTAACCCCAATAGGGTTTATGCAAGATACTAGAAGTGTGTTAAGGGAATTATTTCAAGATCAGAGAGTGTTCAAGAAAGCAATTAATCATAGGATCTCTAAATTATATTATTTTCGTTAAGAGCTAATATCGAACTTATCTGGTTAAAAAATTACGGAAATGCCCTTAAGAGGTAGAATAGTCTGAGATGACTCTGAATGAGAAAATACTTAGAGGATTCGTACTTAACTCGATTAAGTACGAATTTAATTGTTAAGATCCCGACTTAGTGCAGGAAAATTCCTGATATTCCGTTTGTAAAGTCTGAGAAGACACTTGACCTGAAAATATTCGAATAATGAGTAAATACTGGAAGAGTAATTTATCGGGGGTATTCTGCTGTCAGAATTGTTCGAAAGGACTGAAGTAAATGATAAGATTGAATTAAATAATAAGATCGGATGGAAGGAAAAGATTGAAATACCGTAGATCTGTAAAATGACCAAAATACCCCTGTAATGGAAATGACCCAAGAATATCACCAAGCTCAGAAATGATTGGATATCCTCGAGCTCTGAAATGAATGGAATAAAACTGAATACCAAAATTTACAAAATAACCTTATGGTCTAAACTAAGTAAATGTCTTGGATTAATTAAGGAATCCAAGTAAGCATAGGTATTGGACTACCTTTAAAGGTAATGGAATCCAAGTTTGGCTCGATGATAAATTTTAGAAGTATTCAGCTCAGCTCTAGATTGTATTCAGTACTAAGAATTGGACGTTTGTTCGACAATCAACCACGAAGACCAAATTGAATGGAATGGAAGTACAACATGTATCTGAAATTCAGGAACGTTTGAATTACTCTGGAAAATCCTGAAGTAACTGGAATGTAGATGACTGCTAAATGAAATAGGTAACCTCAATGACTGAGGATTTAGTAAGTGATTTGGATAAGTCTGGAAACTCTGATGAGTTTACGTAGTGTACAATTACAATGGGTTATGAACAAATTAATCAAGTACGTCAGCATTTCATGATATTGTGGAAGTGTGGAAATGAAATAAAGACATTGAAGATCTATTCAACGATGATTCCGAAAATGGTCTATGGACAAGAATTGTGGTATTAAAGAGTAAATACCTTGAAAGAACAATGAATTGACCAATCGACAGGCATTAGTTTTGGGAACTATTCATGTAAGAGTTGTCTGATAATCCGATCAATCGACATAGAATATAAATGTCCTGGACCTTCATTTCTTCCTTATCAGCTCAAGTCACATTCTGAATAACTGATGATTCTGTCAGTCATTGAACTCTTCCAATAGTGATTCTGAATTCCGATATTCTATCGGTATACTGAAGATACGTATTCCTCTACTTGTTAAGATTATCCAATATCTTTGAATACTATCTGTAAATTCTGGTGTGTTCCCTACTCACATGAATATTTTATCTGATTTTCGATTTGAATTCTGATCTGATACTTGATATGGATTCTGATATGATATCTGACATAGATTCTGATCTGATACTTGACTTGGATTCTGATCTGATACTTGACCAGGATTTTGATATGATACTTGACATGATTTATGTTTTGATTTTTGATATATCCGTTTACGGACGAACATATTTTACTTGGGGGGTAATGTTGGAGGAAGTATACCTGGAGGCTCCTCGGCTGTGTGCTCAGGGTCTTATTTACCGGTTCCTCGGCTGTGTGCTCAGGGCCAACTGGACTTGATGGTGGGTGTATGGTTCTGGGGAACCTACACAATTTGGACTTGTTGGATGGAGGTATATATATATATATGTTTTAAAAGATCTGTATTTTTTTACTGGTTTTATGGGAACACACTAGAAAACCTATTCTGATCTCCTGAAATTAGACATCTGAAATATTTCCATCTGAAATGAATACTATTTGTTACTACCTGAAATATCCGTAGAATCTCTGCTCAGTGTAAAGATCTGTAAATGTCAGAATCGATAAGGGAAAATATGTTTATTTGTATTTGCACGTTCTTCAGCATCATCTGGTAGTTCTGTATTACTGAGCTTTCCAAAGCTCACTCTATTACTCACCTTTTCAGGTTAAAAGAATTGTATCAGTGCATCTATCGACTTCAGTAAGGGAGTTCTTCCGGCGTTGTTGCAGAGTATGGTACATGTGATTAGGGGGCATGTAATTGTATTTTGATTTATATACGAGTTTGGAAATCTGTTTTATGTTTAAATAATAAAAACTGATTTTATAAGTTTACATGTTCTGATAAAAAGTTTTAAATTTTCCGTTATTTTTACAGTGGGTCGCTCCGGTGGCACTAATGTGACTTCCCGGATCGGATCGGACTACCCGCATCGGTCTAGGGGGTTACAATCTTATACGGTTCTACAAGAAAAGTTCCCAAATTGGAAATTAAGTACTTTTAGTTATACAATTCTTTTACTCTCTTTCCCCCTTCTCTTTCACTACTAAATGTTATAGCTCTCGTTGTAGTTCATTCTGATAAGACCTTTTAGCCATGCTCTAAGTTTTGTCACAGTCTGCAGTTCCTGAGTTTATTGTTTTTACTTTTTGTGAACATGGCTAGAACGGGAGAAAGATTGGTGCTCTCTGTTTTGAAGGCAGTGAACCATTAGGATCCTGGAAAGGAGAATATACTTGTGTCTGATTTTACAATGCCAGTTCCTCTTGCTCCATATCCAACACCTCCAGGCTCATATCTCCTGCCAATGGTATCTTGTTCTGCTATGCAACACATTTATCTCGAAACAATTCGAATGGTGTTATTGTTTAGTTGCTCGAATGAAGAACCTTCTCAAGAAACTCGATTAGCTGCATCCGCTAAAGCGATAGGAGTATTAGGCTTGGCAAATCTAAATAGATTTCTTGATTATCTTGTTGCTAAATCTATGTCAGCAGGTGCTCAAAGCCAGCTTGTATGTTCAGGATGTCGGAATCTATTACTCTATCCAGTTGGAGCAACCTCAGTATGCTGTGCCGTTTGCAATGCAGTAAATGCTGTGCCACCTCCCGGTTCATCATCTGCTATCTACTTTCATAACATCTTTAGCTTATGTTTCAAGTTATTCCCTTGTCTGTAAAATGAAAAAACTGGGAGAAAATGACTGCAGGCACAGAAATGGCCCAGCTGGTTTGTGGAGGCTGCCATACATTACTAATGTACATCAGGGAGCCACAAGTGTTCAATGTTCATGTTGCCACACTGTCAATCTGGCCCTGGAAGGTAACTACGACGCTTATCTTTCTCAAAGCATGATTAAGATAGTAAACCTCGTCGATTAAAGCTTCCTTCGTATTCGATAGCAAATCAGGTGGCACATGTAAATTGTGGGAACTGCAGGATGCTACTAATGTACCAGTATGGAGCACGATCCGTAAAATGTGGAGTCTTCAATTTCGTCACGCCGATTGGGGTTAGTTCACAATATTTGATTCATGAGGATACACGCTTCCTCTTAAAAGAGTACCATCTTTTTGAAATGTCTTTCATCAGATGATGCAGGGATCATCAAGTGGTGGACCAGAACACAAGTTCAACAGCTAGAAATAGCTTTACAGTTGAGAAATAACAAGTTCACAACTTCCAGTTTTTCACATTCCTGATCTCCTTTTTGTTTTCTGCTTTGCCTGCGTGGCATGTTAAGCTTTTTTGGCAGGTGGTTGGACTATTTTAGGTCGAACAATGGATTATGTCATGATAAGATAAAAGACTTAATTTTGCTTTACTTTGCTATGTATGAGTAAGCTTAAATACACGGCATTGAAGCTTATATCCGATACTTTTCTTCTTCTGCTGCATACTTGTCAATGGCTAAAGTCTATCCAATCTAACAAGAGCAACCACTCTCATAATTGTTGCATATCGAAAGAAAATCCTCAGAAGAACAAAGAATATGCACTCTCAATCAGGGGCATCCAGGATCAAATACATCTCATTATTTTTGATAAATTATTAAATTTAATTCAAGATGTTAAAGAAAAAAAAGAAAAATTTTACATACTTGTTTTATTAAAAATATTAAAATTTAGACATATTTTTAAAATTTTGAAACTTTTAAATCCGTTACCACTCTCGATCTCTTAAAATCAAGGAGAATTAACTATCCTATAAAGCACTAGATTGCATAACTTCTAATCTTCATCACAAGCATGCTCAGAATACATAGTCTGTCATAGACTCCTTGCTCTCCTACAACAAAGACATTTCATATGGCCTAAGTAGTGGACCATATAATTATTGAAAATTTTAATATAGAATCGATACTCATAATAAAATGAATAATTAATATGAAAAATTCAGAATTTAAAATAGATACATGTGCACCCTGAATATATTTTACATCCGCGAACTAAACATTTTACTTCTAAGAGATTAATTATCCAAAATAATTTTAATAGTAATTTATATATCTTTTTACCATTATATTAAAAGCTAAGCTTGTTTGGTATTAAGCGATTATACACTCAATCCTGGATTCTTTCTATAATATTAAGTCGGTCTCGTCTCTAGGCTGTTAGTCATGTTTATCTGATATATTTTATTTTGTTTCTATCACAATTCTATTCTACTAGCTGGGCTCCTACGTGGCAGCAAAACCACCGCACTGCATTGCATGGTTGACGCGTGGCTATAACTTTCCATCGTGTCAGCTTGAACATTTATGTGAATAAAGATGGCTAATCATGTTGCTGTTGTGCATTTGATTTCAATCGCTACAGTTTTTCAGCTAAAGCCTGGTCGAGAAAGAGAATGCAAACCGTAAAGGAGAAGATTGGCAACATGAGCAGCAGCGCCAAGGAGCATGTTAGCACTGGCAAAGCTAAAGTTGAAGAAAAGGTAGCCTTCCCTTTCACTAATTTTTCACTATTAAAGATTGTGACATGTATATTTTAATTGTCACAGTTGGAGAAAGCAGCTGCAACGACTGAAGATGAGAAGAAGTTGGCTCATGAACGTAAAAAGGCCAAGGAAGCTCGAGCAAAGATGGAGCTGCATCAGGATAAGGTCAAGCACTTGGAGGAGAAATTGACGCCTAAACAACCCCAATATCTCCATGGCTATGGATATGACCTTGACCATGACCCAGCACTTCAACCCGAACAAACCACGGCTCCTCCCTATCATCTTACGGCTCACCCCCCGCCTCACAGGCATTCATAAGGGTTGAGACAAAGGCCCTACACATGGCACCGTGGAGGGGTTCTTCACAAGTATTACCAACCTTGTCATTTGTAGTCTTCCACGTTTATTTATAATGCAAATGCTTTCCCCCTTCTCTATTAAACAACAAAGGCAATGATGAGAGAATCCATATTAGATCATTCAACAAGCCACTTATACAGAATATGCCTTGATCGATGGAGCAATCGACTGCTAAACCAAAACCCTCTTTCGAATCTACTTCTCGTACATGATACTGATACAGTGAAATGAAAATTGTTACCATTACAATTGGGGAAAATAGATTTAAATGAAGATGATTAGTAGCACGCTTTTGATGTAAGGCCAAACAAAGAATATACCAACAATCATATCCACTGTAATCTTCCTTGGTGCTCTACACACTGCTGCATTTTACCATCATGTGACATGAATTTGGTGACTAATGTAGAAGAATGAAATAATGAAATAATTTAATGATTATTGGAAATATATGTGAAAGGTTATTTAGTAATTATTAAAGGAAATTAAGGGTAAAATGGTCATTTGACCAGAAAGATTTTTATCTTTCTTTTAAGGTGATAAAACGTGGGAAGGGTGAGAAGAAAAGAAAGTTCTGGAACTGGGTCATCTCCTTCCTCCTCTCTTCCCGTAAGCTCCATGGCAAAGGTAAATTTAATTTCAGTTGGTTAATTCTTGAGTTTTAAGCTTAGTTTTGATTCTTTGGGTATTAATTAAGCTTAAGGAAAGCTTATATGGATTTAAGATAAAGGAATTAAGAAGGAATTTGTAATATGCGTTTTAAGATGAAATTTTGATATGGTATGGTTGTTGAAGTTTTATGGATGAATTTGACTTGTCATCAATCTAATTAAGAAGTATGAAGTGTTAGAATTGGAATTAGAACACATTGAAAATTTAGTGTGATTCTTGAATGTCATGTAAATGATGGAATTTTGAGTTTAAAGAAGTGATTATGGAATAGAAATGAGTTTAAATATGTGTATGGAAGTTAGGAATATTAAAGGGAGTAAAATATGAAGGTTTAAGCTGAAAATGAAGTGATTTTCGAGCTAAAAATATGATTTCTGGGCAAAGGGAATCGGTACCCATTCAAGGGAAACCGATACCCCTTCAAACGAACAAAAATTTCCAGAATGTCATGAGGGAATCGATACCCCTTAGTAGGGAACCGATTCCCCCTAAAGAAAAAATGTGAATATTGGTTTAATAAGTTCGTTTAAGTTGCTAGTATCTAATTACAAGGAATAGGTATCTAATGATTGTCTCAAAATGTACATTTATGTAGATTCTACGCGTAAAGCAATTCCAGAACATTTGGCAAGTAAGATCGATCAAGGGAAAGATAAGAGATTGGAATTGACTAGTGAGACCAAGGTGAGCGCATACTAGTGATATGTAGTGTTTAATGGAAATAAGATTTGCAATGAGTCTATTTCCTAGAGTAATAGGCATAAGTCATGGACATGATTATGTGTTGTTATAATTATATGTGATTATCTGTATTACATTGATTGTATGTATGCATGACTAAAGATAATGATATGCTTTGTATATGTTATGTGATTATGAATAGGTAGAAAGGAAACAAATGATGATATAAGAATTTATTATAAGATATATGATATGAAAATATGATAGTGAGCTATGTGAAAGAACTATGAGTTATATAGAAAATATATGCGAACAAGATATGACATCTATGTTTATATGAAACAATGCAAGGTGATATGAGCTATGTGAGATATGAATATAAAATCATATGAGAAGTGAAAAGAATTACATGAAAATAGACTAAGTGATTACATGTATATGTGAAAGAAGCTATATGATACGATCTATGTGATTACATGCAACATATGATATTAGATATATGTTTACACATACATGTGGTATGTGACAGAAGAGAAGAAACATGCGATTATGAGATCAATGATTACACGTACATGTGATACGTGACTGAAAAGAAAAGATATGTGTTTATAAGAGAAAGAATATGAATAAGTAATGTGAACTGTTATAAATGATAATGCCCATGTTATGTGATATGAGAGCTAGGGGTATAGTTGGCATGCCAAGGGTCGAGGGTTTACCTATGTTCTTCGGGACATATGGACTGTTTACCTATGTTCTTCGGGACATATGGACTGTTTACCTATGTTCTTCGGGACATATGGACTGATTACCTAGGTTCTTCGGAATCTATGGACTGGTCATTCGGGACATTGATCGAGCTGTGGTAACAACATATGTGTGCACAACCTCAATGTACTCACATACCTTAAGTTCTCACTAGTGTACATGGGCTAATAAAGTGATTAAACAAGCATACTGAATGTGATATGTATACGATGAGTTTATAAATGGTTATCAAAGGTAAGTGGTTTGAAATGTGTTACATGAACCATATGATGTTATGTGTGTTTCTTAATGATAATGATAGAGATTATGATAATGATAGTATATGTTTATGTATGCTTTATGTTATATGAAATATTATATGTTTTATATGCCTCACTAAGTCATCGACTTAGCGTGTGATTGTTTCACACGTAGGTTTGGAAAGCGAAAATAAAAGTAAAGAGGAACAAGACAGGTCAGTTCTCCTTACCGAATGTCAGATCAGAAGAGAGGTGAATAATATGTATTTTTGTATATAAAGTTCTAGTTGGCATGTAATCAAAAGAATATATTGTATAAGCTCTGAATAATTTTGTAAATGTTTTGAAATATTTAAATGTTATAAAAGTTTTTAAATTACTCACTATTTTTGTTCCATTTTAGGATTGAAGGACTTTCTTGTTTGCCATTGTTTCTTCCAACTCCGTCACTATTGTCTTCTTATTAAGAAAACAAGAAGCTCCTCTAGCTAGATGTATTAAGAAAACTAACGTTACTACTTTGGAAGACCTCTCTGTTTGTCCATTAATGTCATCTGCCTAAAGCATAATTGCTTAACATGAAAACACTAGAAGAGTTTGTGTATTACTGTATTTGTACATGTTGGCATGTAAATGAGTTGCCTAAACCATAATTTAAAAAGGATTGACAGTAAAAATGCAAGTTAAATAAAAGTAACGAGTTCCATCCACTAAACCTAAATTTAACATAAACAAGAATGCATTTCATGCAATGAGCATCAAACCATCAACTACATCTGGATCTTTATCTATCCTTGCATATTCTCCATGAGCATAAGAAATAATAATGTGAAGAACATGGACAAAAACTAACAGAGTAAACTATCAGGAAGCTTCTTGATAGCTCATAAACCACATATAATATCAGCAGTGGACAATCTGAATAGAAGCAGAAGTTTAATTCAGGGAAGTAACATCAATGAATGTCCAGAACAGATCGTTAGAAGAGAGGATTACACAATGAAAATAAAAAGTGATCTAGGTTTGCAGATAAATCCGAGACTGGGGATCTAATAAAACATTTCCAGAGTCCACTTTATGTTCAATTTCAGCACATTATTGTATGTGCTTATTCAGGAAGAAGATGTCTGAGAAATGCCCTCTAGCACCTAGGTCCAAAGACAAAAAACCCCATACACCCAATATACCAAGGAAAGATTATTGTAAAACTTTAAGTGTCTGCTAACCTTAAGCTATTTACAACCAAATGACAAAACTCAAAGTTAATTCTTCCCCATATAAGTTCATTGATTTGTGCTATCTTGACTTAATTCCAAACTAATACCCCTTAATGAGTTCTACTTCTATTACCCAGAAGTCAAATCATAGCAAAAAGTAACAACATTCAACATCATAAGCTATAACAATTGACAATACATGAAGAACGCATATGAGCATATCTTAAAATTTATGAAACAAAACATTGAAGATATATTAAAGAATTTGAGATGGACCTGGACACCACCGTCACAAGAATTGCAGGGGAGGAGGACAGGACCGGGATTGGGAAGAGCGGCAGCGACCTGAACAGAGAAGCTAAAGCCCCTCCGAGGAAGTCCAATATCTTGGAAAACGGAACGGTTGCCGGGCGTTTCGTTATTGTTATCATCTTTGCGAGGGTCGTTTTCTTGGTCTTCCACTTCCTGGCCATCGTCTCCGGCAAGCCCCAGAAGCCCCGCTATTCTTCTAAAGAATCGCATAATCAAAGATCAAATGTTATTCGATTACCAATCAGATGAGCTCAGCTAAACAAATCCAATTCAAAAGAAAAGAAAAAAAGAAGAGGGCTTGACAGAAATGTATGGCTCGGGTCCTGCTCGTAGTGTAGAGCAAGCTCGAGCACCGGCGACGAACGGGAAACGTTTATTTACATATATACGGAAAAATTCGCATGGTTAAACTTTCATTACGTAATTAGTTAGAGGGCTTAAACTAAAAAAAGTAACTAGCCAACTTTTATGTTACGTAAATAATAAGTAATTTGATATCATTTAAATAAAAATTTGAATTTAAGTCTTTTTGTTTGTAAAAATTTTTCGTTAAGATATATTTATTAAAGTTAGATGCACGACATTGATATGTTTAGAAATCGAAACAAAAATCAAATAAAATTTTCTGAAAAATAATGATTGGAATTAAAGTAATTAAGTACGATAATTTAAAATTTATTTTGATCAAATAACTTAAGGATTTAAAGCCAAAAAAACATAGTTAAAAGAATTTTTTTAGTTTAAGTCTTAATTTCAGTAAAGGAAAATAGGAGAAAAGGTTAAAATGTGTTCTAAGTTTCGGCAAAATTAGTCTAATAATCCAAGTGAGTTATATATTTGAGTTTATATGGCAGCCCAGGATTTAAATTAGGAAAAACTACTTATTTAGTCATCCGCTAATATTTTGATTCTCTTTTAATAATTCGTCGTTAAAAAATTAACGATAAAATCGACGTATCATTATAATAAGCTTAGATTAACATTATTAATAGTGATAACAAATAAGGACAAATACATTATTTTATGTTAAAGATGAGTTTAAACTTATAAATTTTAATAAATGAAAACAGATTTTTAATAGAAGTA